TAATAAGAAATTAATTATTTCAAAACCTATTTATCAAGTTTTAAATATATTAATAATTGCTTTTGTTGGAAAATTATTAAGAGTTGTATCTTTTCATTTATCAATTTAAATAACTTTAAACAATTTCTTTATCGTACCATATCCATGTAGAGTTGCTTGTCACCGCGACTATAATCCTCATCATTTCCAAAGAAGTATATTGTTCTTCGCGGGCATCTTTTCGGCTGTCTAATTTTTTCCACCTGGAGCCTTTCTATAACTAAAGGACTCTCGAGTTCTACGCTCGATGGCATGAATCCGATCTCAAATTTCTCACTCTCCTCAATAGAATCGTCGTCATTTTCCTGAAAATCCGGATCTTTACGAATGATCTTAACGTCAACTTCGCAGTGACCCACTGTCGAATTTTCCATAATTGTAAATCTATCACGACGTTCCTGTATCTCGAAACCAACATTCAATTGGCTGACTATACTCTTGATCATGTCAAGCCTCCATCTAGGAATCGATCTGTGTACCACCAAATTTTCAATACCCTTCGAATTGAATCTGATTTCGAAAGGTTCATTGCCCACGAATTTATATCTCGTGGGCACAAAATCCTTCGCGTTCGAGCATCTATTGTCTTTTAGATCGGGACGTTTGATTAAAGAGTTCTGGAAGTGGCAGCTGAGACTGTCGTCTCCCTTAGCTCGACACTTGAGCTCGGTGGCAATCATAGCGCAGAAATTGTCGTTTTCATGAACAATGTTGGCCAGGGATGTGTTCACGAGAACGTCGTACGTGCATTCCGGACTCGCCCATTTTGTTTGTTCATACTGCCGATCGACAGTAACATTTGCAACTATATAATACAAAAAGATAGCTAGATAGATTGATAGAGATATAATATTATGATTGATAAAGAGAAAAGTGAAGTTAATTTTTATTTATCAGATGAAAACATTATTTTGACAAGTAAGCGAAATCGATGTAAATAAAAATAATGTTGTAAAATGTGATTGTGAGATACGAATTATTGAATTTTTAAAATATTATTCACTATAAAATCTGTATTAATAATATAGACGAAATAAATTTTTAGAACGTACCTAGAAAAAATGGCAGAATCGTCACCAACATAGCTGATATCCTCACTTTGACTGACGCTTCTGCCCATCATTCATCTCCTCTTTATAGGAAAGATCTTAATGTCTTCATTTATAGTCATCTCCTTGAAAATAATTTCACGGAGTACCATTTCCGCTTAAATTTTGCAGATATCTTCCGTATGGATGCGATAAGAACATTGCTTTCGTACTTAGAATTACTTTAATAATATGGCACGCATTGCAAGTGCGAGATTTAGATGTAATTGCTAAATTTGTCTGCGCTTGTTAACCACTGTTTACATATAGCTTTATATATGCATAACTTATCGCAGAAAATATATATTTTCGTAATTTTTTAATAAAAAACGTCAAAAATTATATCAAATAAATACAAAAATTATATAAAATGATGACACAAAGCTCAAATGAGATAAATCAAATGAAAAATATATAATGATGAACATGTTACATGTGAAAAATGATTTATTCTATTAAATGTACATACGTTTCGATCCACACTTCGGATCCTTTTCACTGTACAAGGGTCGTCTGAAAAGTTTTGAGCCTATCATAGAAACAAGTAATTTTTCGGTCAAATTCAATTTTATTTTTCCACATAGTCTCCTTCTAATTCGA